CTGCACCAATAGACCCTGCTGACTGTCCATCTCCTCTTACTGATGACGTACGAACAGGGTTAGTTCACAGAGGTCCATTTCAAATTGAAAACACCTTCACATTCCCTAAACAAAAGGACGGATGAAAGTATTTTAACAGACACTTAGTCAATGGGGAAAAAATTGGAAGATTCTTAAATATCTTATTTTGTGTAGTGCCTTATTTATATTGTATTTATAATTCATTTTATCACTTGTTTGTAGGCTATTTATATTACATTTCTTGTATTATGTATTTCTAGTTAATTATTTTCTTGTCGACTGTTTGGATTGAGCAACTTGTTTCTCTAAAAATAAAATAAAATGTCAAAGACAAAGCTGTTCAGTTTCTTGCGTGAGTATATGTAAGTAATAAACTGCCAGAGGAATTTATTGCGATGCAAGGGGGGCGCCACCTAAAATCTTGCCTAGGGTGGCAAATTGGTTACAGCCAGGCCTGGTGCCATGCCTCAGACAACCCATCAACCTCATGCCTTACAGACAGCCTCTTCACAACCAACTTCAGGTTTGTTTCAATGATCACCTGTTGAAAGCGAGATGTGTTGTGGAGATGGCATCCTGCAGACCAGGTGGAGGTCCATCTTTCTGAAGGCGCGGGAGGTGGACATCCTCTGTGTCCCCGAGCTCATCGCCTGCTGCACGATCCTGCACAACATCTGTCTCAGCAATGGAGACATGTTGGAGCCAGCAGATGTTGGAGGGAGCAGCAGGGGACTACCCAGAAGCAGCAATTAATTATTATGGACCAGATCATGATTATGTTATGAAATCGATTTTCTTTTAGAGACTGTATAAGATGTAAGTACAGTAACAAATAATTAACATTGAACATTTACCTACATTGATTGACCCTTTGATGCACCTTCGAAATTGTTACCTTTGCACAAAAATGTGCTCCTAAAAATGAAGCTGTACAATATTGTAAATTAATTTAATTTTCTACTGTCTTTGAATTTAAAGCTGTATGTAGAGATCATCTGAAAAATAAACGAAGATGATGAAAACTGTTTTAATATATAAGAAATGCTGAATAGTAAACATCTCAGACAAGCACATAAATTCTGAAAAAATAACAGAAAGTTCACCTCTGGGTCTCCCTAATGGAACGGACAAGAGGGGGAACAGGGGATCCACTGTAAGTCAGTCACACCGCTGTAGTACCTCTCCATCGTGCCAGGTATGAAATGAGAACAGACCACACCCACACAAACTTAATGCCTCAGACCTTGTGTGGAGAGATGAGGGGGAGGATATAGTGAGGGTGCCCTCTATTGGAAAAAGCAGGTATTTTCTCCATTTGCCATACATGGTAAAATTACATCATCTGGAAGGGAATCCCTCAGGGCACGCACTTAAAAGCCTCAGGCCTCAAATAAAGCGACAAAAAGAGAAGATGCATGTTGCAGATGCAATCTGCACATTTTTGTGTGTAGGGACATTAACAGGTCTATTTCCGGCCACATTGTTTACAATAGGCTAAAAATAATGAAAACAATTGAGAACACTCAAACATACACAACCTTGCTTAAAGCAGCAACAATATACATGAAAACAGAAAAATGTACGCTAGAAATTAAAAGGCAAAAATGTACAAATGTACGTGGGTGCATCAAAGAGTGAAGAGTTACTAAATATGCGTCACAAAGTGAACAGAGGAACCTGGAGAATTGTTATGCAGATTGACAGGCCTAAATAAAATACAAAAATTAAATATGTAAATAATAAAAGAAAAAAGAAAAAAAAAGAAATGTATACCCAGAAAATATGTACAGTATGTAGTAGGGGTGCTGCTGCGGTAATGACTCCACCTGCATGGACTCAAATGCCCCCCCTTCAACTCTCCGGCACCGGCCTGGAGAGGCTTTTAGCTTTATCCTGCTGAACAGTGACGTGTATTACAGACCACATCCTGTCATTCCCCCATGGTAAAAATGCCATCTGAAACAATATGCTAAATTACAAAAGAACACGTGAATATCTTACACCACCCCTGTAAGGTTAATCCCATCCAAATGGGGCTGAAGGTGAAGTTGCTTTGTGTGTGTGTGTGTGTGTGTGTGTGTGTGGTGTGTGTGTGTGTGTGTGTGTGTGTGTGCCTGGCAGGGGTCTGAACTGTAATGCATTCCTGCTGTTGTCACCCACCCTCGGGTGAGCTTCCAGAGTGTAAACAAGCTATATTAGAGAATGGTGAAGTGGTGGGGGTCGGTTGGTTGTTGGATGCAGAAACAAACGTCAAACGTTGATGGATTAATAACGTCTAGAACAACAATAACAAGAGGGTGAAAGGTGAAAAGGTTCCAATTTTCCAAAAATGTGTTTCTGTCTTCCTATATTGATCCTCATATAGAAAATAAGTGTATTGCCTCACCAGGGCAGGAAATTTGTGGGGTTTCTTTTACCGATCATAATTATATAGTTAGTTATTTTTAATATGTACACAGGGAGCTTCAGCTAGAATGACGCAGTGAGTAAATGCCAATGGAAGTGCAACAACAGGCTGTCACTCAGGTTACAGAGTGTTTCCAGACACTGAGCAACTGATAGTCGCTGTGGAGACATACAATAGGAAAGCTAGAGCTGGTGGATTCAATATTTTGGTTTTGATGATTAATATTTTATAATGATATTATTTTCTGCCCTCACTATGTGTGTAGATGCACAGCTGTGCAGTGAGCAGACCATATTTCTGTTTAAAGGTCCAGCGTGTAGGATTTAGTGGCAGATCACACCACCCTGCCTTCACCTTCCCCTTCCAAGCACCAAGGAGAAACTACATTGGATGTGAAACACACAAAAAACACCAACACCCCTATCCAGAGCCAGTGTTTGGTTTGTCCCTTCTGGGCTACTGTAGAAACATGGTGGTTCAACGTGGAGGAGTCTATAGATATAAAAGGCTCATTCTAAGGTAACGAAAACAGGATTCTTATTATTAACACTCATTATTTTCAGGTGATTATACAATAATGAAACATACCTATGAATAGTATATTACATTTTGCCAGTAGATCCTCCTAAATGTTACACACTGGATCTTTTAGGACTTTTTATTCCAGCTTTGAAGGACTGAAACGTGTTAAATCTGTCTTAAAATAATGACTGATCATTATTTTGGATTCAGCTACTCGAGTTAGACAAATCAAGTTGAAGTGATAACCTTTTTAATACAGAATTCTCTCTTTTTGTTACTCTCCCTCCACTGCAGCTCAGTATTAACACTGCTCAGGGGAAACAGACAGGACAACATGTACTAAAAAGACTACCTCTGGATGATATCCACTTGATTTGAAGCCTAAGCTTGAGATTAATAACCCAGTCTATACAGATTATTATTCGAGGAACATGCACTGTGCTGAGGAATGCAGTGACGTAATCACTGTGCTGTGACTGTTGCTGTTTCCCTGTCCTGTACTTGATCATGTTATTGGTAATAGTGTGTTCTCTCGTTCACTGCTGTATTATAACTATAAATATACGTGTGCGTGAGAGTGATGTAACTCTCTGTGTTGCATTAAGGACGCTGGTACACTGGGACATGCAATGAAGCAAACAACAACACTGTAAAGGTACAAGCTGTGATTTGGTATGAAAGTTACGACTTGATAGTTTCAAACTAGTGATTTACTAAACCAGGTTGTAGCATTACAACTTAAGAAATGTCTTAGCTGGTAGTAATGGAAATGTTGCTACACTACATTTTAATTTGGCAACTTCCTCCATTATTTTCTTTAGTTTTAAGTCAAACTCAAATTTCTGTTTTTAAATAAACTAATAATAATTAATGATAATAAGTTGATACGTTTTTAGGTTTTGTAAGCAAAAAGAACTGTCTATATAAAAAATTGTTAAAACAATATCAAAGTGAAAAACCTTTTTTTGAATTGCAACTGTTTAATTTTCAAGCACCAAACCAAACTTTAGTGAAGGAAGTCCTTTCCTTTTTACACAAGATATAGCTTTTGTACTTTTTTTTCAGCTACACTTTGCTGAGTAGTGGAGAATGAGGTTCATTGTCAGATTCATCAGTTTCATTCATCAGTTTATCTCGCTCCCTAGAGCTGTGGTTCCCAAGCCGGGGGGTCACCAAAGCCTCACATGGGGGTTGCAAAGCCTTGATATTATTTGTTATATCTATTTTTTTGTCTAATTCTGTGAATAAAACTAAATGGGATTGTTTGCTCAGATAGAATCTACATGGGTGAAAAACATGTATGTTAGGTTAATTCCTCCAGTCAGTGCCCTTGACCTATAGGCACAGGCTCAGATGTGGAGCTGCTATCTAGGCGCTGCACGGTGGCTGCCCACTGCTTCTAGTATTTATGATGGGTCAAATGCAGAGAAGGAATTTTCCTTACGGGGATCAATAAAGGACAACTTAACATTCAAAATCAAAACATTCTTTAATTCCTTCAAACATTTTTCAGTCTTTTTTCCATTGAACTTAAGCCGATCACTTTTTCCAAAACAGATCATGAAATAAAGTTCCACTTTTGAACGAGTTATATTTAAATTAATCTAAATTAGTGTGTTAATATCGACTGCATTTGACACCAAACATGGGTCAGGATCCTCCCTCGGAAACAGGTTGAAAATCTTTATGTAAATATATTGCGCAACAGGCTGAATCTGTTTTCATTTCTAGGCCACACAAACCATCCACCATAACAATGCAGCATTATGTGTATGTATTGATAATGAATCTGTCATTGTTGTTGTTGTTGTTGCTCGGTAGAGTTGCTCTCTCTGCTCACAGTCTGTGCTAATGTGATGATAAACTCTGAAACGTTACGTAAGCTCTGACCCGGTCACACGCACACATGCTCGCGCCCTCTCACGTCTCCTTGTTTACTATCTTCCTACTGTGCATGTGGGTGGGATTCCTGGAGTCCAATTGGCTCCCTGCCGCCCGCCGCGCCCTCCTATTGGCTGAGGCTGTCTGGTAAATAGCAGCGCCGCTCACACTGCAGCAGACTGTACACAGCATCCCGCAGACTCCTTTAATGCCAGAGGACCTTACACATCATCTTGAGCTCCCAGTAATATATTTTAAGTAGGTGGTCTTCCTGAAGATGAGCAGTAAAATGAAGTTCGTCCGGTCTCTGATGAAGACTGCAGCGCTGGCCAACGTGCCCAAACACATCGACCATTACTCCAAGTTCTCCCCTTCTCCTCTCTCAATGAAGCAGTTCCTGGATTTCGGTGAGTGCGCCGTGGTATCTGTTCTCACTGTGTTTACAGGGGGCCTGCGGTCATCTGTGCGCCCCGCTGCAGAGATTAGCAGTCAGGGGACAGAGGAACAGCGGTAAGTGATCGATAGTTACCATCTCAGCCCATCACTGAAGAACAAGCTTGTTGTTCTCGATGTGTGCAGGGGGAGAAATACTCACGGAGGGGCACATTAGGAAAGCGATGAATAGGCATATCTAAAGGAGGCATAGGAAATCAATCAATTCTAAATACATGACTTTTTCCTTGATCACTAAATTACACATTATGTTATCCGTGTTCATTTCTTTATTTTTTTTAACACGTGATTTTTAGAATAATTGTGTTCATCTGACAGCATTTGACAACAAGCTGGGGTGGCACAGTGTCCCACAGGTCCTGGAAAAGGCAGACATTTAAAGACTAGTTTTCCAATGATGGAAACTGTAAATTGTGTTTTAGCCCCTCACTAAGATCAGCTTCGTAAACCTGGGTGTGTATTTGTTATCCCTCAAACTAAAGAGGGGAGAAATAATCACAAAAGATATTAGATGTGTGTCTCTTGCGCGAGCTTTACTCGAATCAGATATGAAATGTAACAATAAAATACAACAATTTACACACTACAGAAAAGATACAGGAACAGGAAATGTATGAAATGTATCTAAAATACACAGAAGGATACAGGAACAGGAAATGTACGAAATGTATCTAAAATACACAGAAAGATACAGAAACACAAAAAATGGCGAAGCTGGGACCTGCACACACACACACACAACGCCGGTTAAACTAGTCTGCCTGTACATACATACACACACACGCAACGGCGGTTGGCGGTTAAACTAACACACAACGGCGGTTGGCGGTTAAACTAACACACAACGGCGAATGCCGGTTAAACTAACACACAACGGCGGTTGGCGGTTAAACTAACACACAACGGCGAATGCCGGTTAGACTAACACACAACGGCGAGTGCCGGTTAAACTAGCCTGCCCGTTTACACACACACACACACAACAAAACTTGACTACATCTACCCGAAAAATAACAGAAACATTATACATATATTCTTAACATGTCAACAAGTTACTACAGACAAAACAACTTAGTTTCACATACACAACATACCTAAAGAGGGGAGAAATAATCACAAAAGATATTAGATGTGTGTCTCTTGCGCGAGCTTTACTCGAATGAGAAAAGAGCGAAGAGCGCGAATTCTCCAGGTATGTGGGCGGAGACTAAAGTAATTGATCTCAGAGTACAGGACTGAGACCAGTCTGTAGATCACAGGTTAAGATTGGAAATACTTTGAATATTAGAATTTTTACATGTTAGGATTAAATAACAATGAAAAAATAAACACTCTTAATAAATGTAATAAATATTCAGCTTTCCTTTACCTGCACAACAGTCTAAAGAGTATCAATTCCCAACTTGTCACACTCTCCCCTACAACATAAATGTCGTCTCGACATTAAATCAATCAAACAATGAGAACATGACACTGGAAATCCTCTTCTGTGAAGTAATACTTAGGTCACAGTTCAAATTCGTCAGGTCAGTCTAAATACGTCAACAATCCATATTCACAGTCCAAATCTGTTGACTGGCTGCTGTATAAACAGTCCAAAAGTGTCTCTGCACATACTAATCAACAGTCCATCAGTTTCAATGATCTGTGCAATCTGCAAACAGTCCATGAAAACAGTCCATAAGTAGTTCATGGTCCTAGTCCAACATGTCACCTCTGTAAACTCAGGTTTGCTGGGATCCATACATACAGGGTGGCTGAAAGTAGTATGGTTGCAAGGGCGGCCACCATGGGACCAGTCCTGGCGCAGCATAGAAAGATAACAACTGCGGCTGTGGCTGGATGCTATGACAGGACGGGATACCCAGCTGATCGTAGGTGATGCGTCGTGGCGGGTGTCTCTCTCTCTGTGGTAGCTGATAGGTCGGTTCCTCAGGTTCAGCAACACTTGATGCAGGAGAGGCATCTGGAGAATCAGACGGATTCTCACCAGGTAAGTTCATCTCCTCCTCCTCAGGCAGGTTTTCAAGTGTGATGAGCTCCTCCGACTGATCACCAATGAGAGGCTGTGCTGAGGTGGCAGCAGGGACTGCTACTACAGCTGGCTGTGTCACTAGTTCATGTCCAGACTGTCTCTCATTAGTTACTGCTGGCGGTGTGCAGACTTGAATTGGCTCATAATGGAAGTCATAGTCATCTCCACTGTCTTCATCAGACTCTGCAGGCTGTGACACAGACTCATACTGTCTTTTCTGTTTACTTTTGTCATTTGTCGTTACTTCTGGTTGTCTCTCAAAAGGTAAGTAGTCACAGGACATGAGCAGGTTTCTATGCAGGACCCTGGAACGGCCATTACCCTTTTCTGGTCTCACTTCATAAATCGGAAGATCAGATCCCATCTGTCTCACTACTGTGTGGACTGTGTTTTCCCAGTAGTCGCGGAGTTTACCTGGTCCTCCCCTTGGTGTCAGGTTTTTTATTAGGACCCGCTCACCTGGCTGTAGCACTGAACTCCTTACTTTAGTATCGTAATATCTTTTACTCCTTTCAGCAGTTTTCTGAGCATTCTCATTTGCAATGGCGTATGCTTCCTCCATACCTCGTTTCCATCTCTCCACATAGTCTGGCTGACTGGAACTTGACTCTGTGTACAGTCCAAACAGCATATCAACAGGAAGCCTAGGTGATCTCCCGAACAAAAGATAGAAGGGTGAGTAACCTGTCACTTCACAACGGGTACAGTTATAGGCATACACAAGTTTGTTCAGGGACTCTTTCCAGTTCGATTTCTGTGCTTCAGTCAGTGTTTTGAGCATTTGCAACAATGTTCTGTTCATACGTTCCACTTGACCATTTCCCATCGGGTGATACGGTGTTGTTCTGGACCCAGCCATGCCACTGAGTTTCTTTAAGTGAGTGAACAACTGGTTTTCAAACTCTCTCCCTTGGTCATGGTGAATGCGGGAGGGAAACCCAAACTTGAGAGCAAAGTCATTGAAGATGAGGTTTGCAGCTGTTTTTCCTGACTTTGATGTGGTGGCATACGCTTGCACAAAACGGGTGAAATGGTCCACAATGACAAGGATGTACTCATATCCCCCTTTGCAGCAGTCGAGATGGAGAAAGTCAATACATACTAATTCAAATGGCTGTGTTGTCACAATGTTTGTCAAGGGAGCTCTCACTTCATGGCATGGCTTTTTCTGCTTGAGACAGGTGCAAGCTTTAGTAACATAGTGCTCAATGTCAGACTGCATATAGGGCCAGAAGAAGCGTTCACGTACTAGAGATACTGTGCGGTCAGCACCTTGGTGTCCCATGTTATTGTGCAGCTCCTCCAACACTTTTCCTTTGTACTGTTCTGGCAGGACCAACTGTTTGTGGACTTTGGTTTTCCTGTACATTAAACCATCACTGTCTATTGTCAGCTTTTCCCATTCTCTGAACAGACATTTTGTCTTTGGGCTGAATGTCTTTAGCTCTCTAGCTAGCGGTTTGGAGCCTGACAGTTTGCTCTCTAACACAGGATGGATGCATGGGTCAGATCTTTGTGCGTCTTTTAGCTCATCTTTTGGTATGGGACTGACTGATGCAGTGGTTACCTCACTTTCGGCAGAGACTGACATACATACTGCTGAAAACGGCAGGGTTGTTTCTTGAACCTCAACTGCTTGGATTGTGGCAGCGATAGCGTCAGGTGGCAATTCTTGAGAACATTCTTTCATTAGTGACTCTGCATCAAGCGGCATCCTTGACAAAGCATCTGCATCACTGTTCTCTTTCCCTGGTCTGTACTTTATTGTAAAGTGAAAATCAGCCAATTCTGCAACCCACCTGGAAGTGGTTGCGTTCACCTTTGCAGTAGACAGGATATAGGTGAGTGGGTTATTATCACTATACACAGTGAAGGTCGGAGCATAGTATAAATAATCCCGAAACTTGTCAGTGACTGCCCATTTTAAAGCAAGAAACTCTAACTTGCCTGCATGGTAGTGGTAATTCTTCTCAGCTGCTGTCAACGAGCGTGAACCATAGGCAATGACTCTCAGTTTGCCATCCTGTTTCTGATACAGTACTGCTCCCAAGCCTTGATGTGATGCATCAGTGTGTACTATGAATGGCTGAGTGAAATCAGGGAACCCTAACACTGGTGGATGGAGCAAACAGTCAATCAGCTGTTCAAGTGCCTGTTGGTGCTGGTCAGTCCATTTGATTGGCTTGTTTGAGGGCACAACATGACTCATTTTCTTTGTTTTTGGTTTTCTTGTGTTTTCAGGGACCTCTTTTGAATCAGCCTTCAGGAGGCCGTACAGGCAGCTGGCCTTTCTGGAGAAGTCTTTAATATACTGCCTGTAGTAGGTAAGTAGACCAAGCATTTTTCTGAGCTGGCCCACATTCTGTGGTCTGATGTCTTTCAAGGCCCTAACTGCTTCAAAATCGGCTGGGTCGACTCTGCTGCCCTCTGCAGAGACTATCCTGCCCAAATAACGGACTTCAGGTTTAAAGAGGGCACACTTACTTGGTTTTAGTTTGATGCCATACTCTCTGAGACGTTTCAACACTTTTCGCACATCATCCACATGTTTAACGAAACTTTTGCTGAAAACCAGTGTGTCGTCCAGATAAGGAATACAGACGTCATCCCGGAGCCCTTCCAAACATTCCTCCATACAACGTTGGAAAGCAGCAGGGGCGTTCATGAGGCCGAAAGGGATGCGTATCCACTCATAAAGTCCCCATGGAGTAACAAAAGCTGTCATTGTTCTGCTTTCTTCAGCAATAAATCCCTGGTGGTAAGCCTTCCCCTGGTCCAGGAGAGTGAACCAGGAATTACCACCCAGACTGTCCATGATGTCTTGGACCCGAGGGATGGGCTGGCGGTCGGGATGAGTCTTCCTGTTCAGGTCTCTGTAATCGATACACACGCGAAGGGTGCCATCCTTTTTCCTCACACACACAACAGGTGAAGAATATGACGAGTTTGACTTCCTGACCCAGCCCTGTGCTATTAGGTCATGGAGGTAACCTTTCATTTCCTGGTACAGTGGCTTAGGTACTGACAGGTATGTGCGTTTTACTGGTTCTGGATCTTTAAGAGAGATGGTCATTCGCAGTCTTTCAATACAGCCAATATCATTGTCTGATCTTGAGAAGGAGTGACACTCTTCTCTAAGCATCTGTTTAACTACCTGTCTCTGTTCTTCATTCAAGTGACTTACATCTACAGGTGGATCCCACTGTTCACTAGCATTACACGGGGTCTGGATGCTGGTGTGGTTCACTGTAGCTGAGGTTGAAGTTTTTTCAAAAATCTGGGCAGGCAACACAGTCACGATGGTTTGTACTGTACCAATTATTGTGCGTCCTGGCAAAACAATATCATGGTCAGCTGGGTTAACAACATCAACTGTGATGACTGGGAAAGCACCTTTCTGGACTCTGACTAGTGTATCATAGAACTCAAGACCCTCTGGCCACTGGGGGTTCAGACCTGGCTGAAACAGCATGGTCATGTCATCTTCAAAAGGCTGGGCAGCTACACGACACTCGATCTGAATGCTACTGTGCTTTGGTACTGCAACCATCTCTTTCTTTGTTTTCACTGCATACTCATCTACCTGTTCTGCATTAACAGCTTGTATAAAAGCTTTCACTTTTTTTTTTTTTAGACTTGGGAAAGCTTTTCTCACGGCACTGTACTGTTTGGTCTTATCAGTATTTGCCAAGATGTGCTCAATGACATTAAAACCGATGATGGGATGCGACAGGTGACGGCCTTTCATCACAAGCACTGGAATGAGTAGTTCTTTTGTTTGGTCCATTTCTGAGGTGAGCTGGAAGGTTGTCTCAATCCATCCCAGGTAAGGCATTTCAGTTCCATTTGCTGCAGTCAATGTCAGATCATTAGGTGAGTCCAGGAATTCTGAAACCTCTCTTAGTCTTAAACTTGGTAAGTATTCCTCTTTCCACTTTTCATCAATAATTGACACCTGGGACCCTGTGTCCCATAAAATTTGGAGTTGGTGACCATTTAAATAGCATTCAACAAGGCACTGTCTGCCAACTAGTGAAGTGACTTTGTGCGGCTGGCCGACTGGAGCTAAGAGTGGCAAATAATGTGCACTTTTGTCTTTACAGGGAGATTTTCCATTAACATTGTCAGTTATCAGGTGAGTACATTTCCTTTTATGTTCAGTCCAATGTTGTTTTTGACATGCTCTGGAACAATACAGTGTCTTTTTACAGGATGAGCATTTCTTCAATTTCTTTGGTGAGGCTTCCTTGCCACAATTTGCACATTTCTGGGACACTTTACTGGCTACGGTTAACACTCGTCCCTCAGTGGTAACCCCCTGCCATTTAAAGGGGCCTCTCTTGACGGTCTGACTCCTCTGATTTTACATCCAGCTTGAAAATGTTCTCCACTCCCACATCGGTAGCAGTGTGTACAAATTTCATCTGATCTGGTCTGCTGGCAGACAAAGCACCTCCTTGGGACATGAGCAGAGTGGTTGGTGTACAGGTGAGGGGCATACTGGGGCCGTGTTGGAGCTGGTGCTTGGGGCAGGCTCTGGCTGCTATAATACTGCTGCTGGGAAAATGGCTGGGCATAGTGTTGGGGCTGAAATGTAGGCTGCCGTAGAGTCTCTTTAATCTGGGCGATTTCTGCACTGAGACCCTTAAGAGAAGCAACACCGGTCTTAAGTTCTGCTAACTCTGCCATCAATTCAGGTGGTACTCTTATATTAGCTTCTTTCACAGCGCACTTTGTAGATGGTGGATCTTCTAACTGGACTACACTTGCACTTGTAGCTAGCTGTTGGGTGCTATACTTCTTTTTGTTTCTTCTCTCTGCCTCGTTAGCACAGGCAATGTTTAGCCTCTCTAACAAAAAGCTCATCTGAGGTTTCAGTATCTAGCAGGAGGGGCTGCATGTCTATCCTGATGCTGTCATTCTGGAGACCAGTAAGCACTGTGTGTAAACTCATGCGCTGGACTAGAGCTGGGTCATACTTAAGCCCTGATTCTGACTCTTGGGATGCAAATAATACTTTCTGCCTTAGATCTAAAACTCGCATTACAAAGCTCTGAGAGGTCTCCCTTGCTATGCTGTGCTTCTGATGCTAGCTGTTTGTAAAGCTCTGTGGCGCTCTTTTCTTGAAAGTGGGACCGCAGAATGCATCTCAGTGTGGGAAGAGTCAGGTGAGATTTTCCCTCTAAATAGCTGCGTAGTTGCGAGCCTGGAGAGATAGCTCTGATTACAGCATCCATAATCTCTATCTCGGGATAACCCCTGTTTAGTCCATTCTCAATCTGATGAGCAAGACTGGAAAATGTCAGCTTATCTCTCTGACCTGGTTCGCCTATTTGTCCAGAAACTTTGAAATCTTTACGCCAGTGTGGACTCGTCTGCTGCTGAGCACTAGCTAAGGGTTGAATGCTCACTGGAGAGCCTGCGGTGGCTTGGTGCAGGGAGTCATTAACAAGGGCATTGACTGTAGTAGTCTGCATCATTCCCAATGTTTGCGGTTGGCTTGCAAAGCTCAGTTGATCCATTTCTTTCTGTGTCTCTGTCTTCCGAATGTGGTGTTCAACATGTGTCATCTCACTATCACCCCCACCGTTGAACATCTCTGCAATTTTGTCTTTCAGTAGCAACAACTCTGACACACCGTCGTCTTCTAGCTCTGCCACTTCCTCTCTTTCAAGGTGCTTAAGAATGTGAGTCACCAATGAAATCCGGGATTTTCCTTTAATATTAGCTCCTTGTGCGCCTGATATGCTCAAAAAGTCACAGATTCCCAGTAAACTGTCTCTAGTTAGGGTCTGCAACACTCCTACTACCTCTTCCTGCAGTTCTTCCAGGGCTGACATGTTGACAGTGCAGGGGCCTTTAACTGTGCAGGAGTTGACTCTGAACTGGTGGGTCCTTACTGTCCCTGATGAGCTCTAACTGGCCTCAGGTAACGTGTACTCGACCACCAGCTTCCAGTTCTCCTTGAACAGCTACACTTTCCTCACTGCAGCCTGCCTGGGTGTAGATTGGGGATTTAGCTGGTGCAGAATTCAGCGTACAGGCTGTGGACACTGGACATCTGAGCAGCAATCCCAGCGGTGCCTCCAATATGTTATCCCTCAAACTAAAGAGGGGAGAAATAATCACAAAAGATATTAGATGTGTGTCTCTTGCGCGAGCTTTACTCGAATGAGATATGAAATGTAACAATAAAATACAACAATTTACACACTACAGAAAGATACAGGAACAGGAAATGTATGAAATGTATCTAAAATACACAGAAGGATACAGGAACAGGAAATGTACGAAATGTATCTAAAATACACAGAAAGATACAGAAACACAAAAAATGGCGAAGCTGGGACCTGCACACACACACACACACACAACGCCGGTTAAACTAGTCTGCCTGTACATACATACACACACAGCAACGGCGGTTGGCGGTTAAACTAACACACAACGGCGGTTGGCGGTTAAACTAACACACAACGGCGGTTGGCGGTTAGACTAACACACAACGGCGAGTGCCGGTTAAACTAGCCTGCCCGTTTACACACACACACACACAACAAAACTTGACTACATCTACCCGAAAAATAACAGAAACATTATACATATATTCTTAACATGTCAACAAGTTACTACAGACAAAACAACTTAGTTTCACATACACAACATACCTAAAGAGGGGAGAAATAATCACAAAAGATATTAGATGTGTGTCTCTTGCGCGAGCTTTACTCGAATGAGAAAAGAGCGAAGAGCGCGAATTCTCCAGGTATGTGGGCGGAGACTAAAGTAATTGATCTCAGAGTACAGGACTGAGACCAGTCTGTAGATCACAGGTTAAGATTGGAAATACTTTGAATATTAGAATTTTTACATGTTAGGATTAAATAACAATGAAAAAATAAACACTCTTAATAAATGTAATAAATATTCAGCTTTCCTTTACCTGCACAACAGTCTAAAGAGTATCAATTCCCAACTTGTCACATATTCAGTCCCGATACCGCAGCTTATATTATGTGTAAGCAAGTGCTGACCTGTATTGTCAAGGAAAACTCCTGGAAAAGAATTAGTTCAAAAGAGTTGGAACCCTGTGGCACCTGGGGTGTTTGTAGGGCTTCTGGCACCGCTCTAGATCCGCCCATGGATGTCTGACTGCTGTGACCTCACTGAAACCTGATGATGATGTTGTTGTTGTTGATTGAATTGCTGCTGCTCATGTTAATGCAGTTGATGGTGATAGACAGTGACAGCAAATGATGATGACTTTTGTTAGGAACTGTACGAGAAAAACAATTCACATTATAAATGTGTATCTTATTTCAGCCTTCCTTTGTATGTGCATAAATAGCTGTGAATCAAGACAACTGGTTCCTAAAGGTGCCCGTTTCCAAATGCAGCAAACAGCAACTTTTTGGTTTTTTTTGCTTGAAGTGAAACAAGTTTGAGCCCCCATTACCACTCTAATCATTTTTGTAGAATCCCTTAGTTTTGTTCTAATTGTCCACCTTTTTATTAGTTCATTACAAGTTTTGCAGAGCTTTCAACCACATCTCACGTCCTTCATCAGTGAATGGATTTCACAGCAACAATCCCACAGTGTACAATCTGGTTATCTCAGGACGGGAATTCCATACTCACTGTAGGTCACTGTGATTGTGAGCCATGTCAATTAGCTGATGAAGACTGTGAAATGCAGTAGAAAGTGTCATAATAGGCTAGTAAGTGGACTTTGAGTTAAGATTATTTTGTCACAAATGTTGTATTGGTTTTAATCAGGTGTAAACCTTTAACATTGAATTGATATGCTATGCTGTTGTGTTCTCCAGGTTCCACCAATGCCTGCGAGCGCACGTCGTTTGTCTTCCTGCGCCAGGAGCTTCCCGTCCGTTTGTCCAACATCATGAAGGAGATCAACCTGCTGCCGGACCGGCTGCTGGCCACGCCCTCCGTCCACCTGGTCCAGAGCTGGTGAGATAGTGATGGACTGCTGAATGAATACTCCCTGAATGACTGACTTATTGATCAATGGTTCTCAACCTTTTTTGGTGTCAAGGACCCCCAAACTGATTCACATCAGGACCTGTATTTGATAAGAAGTCTGAAGGCAGTCGTTCTTATATATTCTCTCATTGGGCTAACGTTACTCAGTGAAATAATAGTGAGAACCACTGGATTAATACAATACCTGATTCACTGGTGACTGATTTACTGACCTTACATCTCACTGTAAAATAACACCTTACATTTCTTTTTGTTTTTACAAAGGAAGTACAATGTGTGTTTAAAGAACCTACCAAGTGAACTTCTACATTACTAATTTTAAAATGTTAAAATGTAAGAGCAACAAGTGTAGATGTAACTTTCTACCCTTGGAGCTGTTAATGTTTTCGCTCAAGGCACAGCCTCACACTCTCCTCTGTACCGTTCAGCGCGGGGGGGGGCTGAACTTTGTCCCAGTTCCTCCTCTAACTCTCTGCCTTCCTTCTTCTTTTTCCTCTGCCTGCTTGTTGTTGCAGCTGAAGGGGACAGCACGTTCAGGACTGCAGCCTCACTGCTGAGTGATAAACAACGTCATTCACAAGAATAAACTGTGGAAGATATTTAAAGATCGTTCTCAGTTGATGAAACAAGACACTCTAAAAGAGTGGCCGACATTGTGTCTTTTATTTTTCAAAGAAAAGAAAACGTTCTGGTTCGAAGCTAATTCATTTGTTCCATCTTTTGTCATGGACAGATGACCTTTGACCTCATTGTTGTTAGTGGTTTGTAATGTTGCTGATCTTGGGAAGTTGGAGACGTTGTCACACAATAATGCAGAGAAAGGTTGATTTAGGACGGGATCGTCCAACATTCAGTGATAGAAGTTGATGTTGTTGAAAACAAGTAAAACATGTACTGCATTACCTTGCACTGTGTTTTCCCAAATCCTGAGTCTTTCTAGGAATTGCTTACTGGAAATGGTCTTGATTTTCTTCTCTTCTTTTGGGGGTAAAACATAACCGGACTGGCTGAATGAAATAAGAGTCAAATTACAGTGGAAACATGACACTTAATGTCATAGAATTTATGAGATGTCTTTCTGAAATAGCAGCTGAAAGGTCCTCTGGTGGAAATGTGATATACTCTATACTGTAACTGAGCAAGGACATATGTCACAACTACCATTCCTTGTTTGGAGCAGGAAAAAGAGGTTACTTGGGGAAGCAAATTAAAGATTGCGTATCTAGATGTTAGAAGAGTCTTCTGGAAATGTCTTCTCCAGTGTTTCATATACCACCTTCTGGCTTTTTCAAGGTATTTATTCAGAAATTAGATATTTTACTCTGACTGGAATGTATCGGTAATACATGAGAGGCACTAACTAGGACTATACAGACAGTATTTTGTTTATAGTGGTACTGAGTAATGAACTCCATGCCAAACTGATCATCATTCAAATATCACGCTGTAACGAGCCGTGGATGCCTAGCTATACATCTAATAGTCTAAATGTGGCTCGCCTTCAAAGTATGTTAGCAGTGCCCTTTTCCTCATTGGTTGTTGAAGTGCAATACAAAACACGTCGTCATGCTTGTAGATAAGAAGGCATTAGCTAAAAAAGCCAACACATCTGGCGGTTCAAAGTCTGTGGCTCTTTTAGTTTCGGTTGCAGGCTGTACAGTTCTGTCTATTTAGAAAGAGAATCAGCAGCATTCAGCAGCAATCTAATACAAAAATCTCCCTTCTGGGTTTGGATCCAGACATGTGATTTACAGAGCAGATCTGTGTGCTGTTGCAGATAAAGACATGGGAACTGATGGACCAGTAGTGTCTAATAAGAAGCAGCAAACTGCACTAACTGATTAGCAGGCTGCTCGTGATCTGCTGGGAGGTGGGTCACCTCAGGGAACCAGAGTCAAGTTGAATTGCGTCAACACACATTCAAACTACATGTCAGGTCTGGTGATGGATGGTGGTGTTTACGTTCTCCTCTCTCCCTCCTCCCTCCCTCCCTCCCTCTTTCTCTCTCTCTGTGTTGCTGTCTTGCTCGCCCTGTGGAATTTACCCGTATAACTAACAGGTTGTAACGGGTTTGTCTGCCACACTCAAGTGACTCTCCTGTGTGTGTGGGTGTTTGTGTGTGTGTGTGTGTGTGTGTGTGTGTGTGTGTGTGTGTGTGTGTGTGTGTGTTCCCTTAGGTACATCCAGAGCCTGATGGAGATCCTGGAGTTCCTGGACAAGAACCCCGACGACCAGAGTGTCCTTGAGACGTGAGTGTAAACACACACACAAAAAAAAAAAAAAACAAGCAGAGGTGGATAGGATAACTTTTCACTTCTTTTCCCTCTAACCTAACCTTCTGCACCTGTCCCTCCTGCGCCCACCAATCTCCAGGTTTGTGGAGGTCTTGGAGGACATCAGGAACCGGCACAACGAGGTGGTCCCCACCATGGCTCAGGGAATAATTGAGTACAAAGACGCCTTCGGCCAGCATGATACTGTTACTGACCACAACATCCAATACTTCCTGGACCGCTTCTACACCAGCCGCATCTCCATCCGCATGCTCATCAACCAGCACAGTGAGCACCCCCCACCCCCCATATGACACTGTCAGATTATGTCAATATATAGCTCATAAACTACTGCTACTAGCAGCTGTAGGAGGAGTAATTTACTCTTCTTCTCTTGCAGCTCTCGTTTTCAATGGCAACATAAACCCCGCCCACCCCAACACCATTGGCTGCATTGACTCCAAATGTGACGTGACAGAGGTGGCACGAGGTAAGAATAAAGAGGAGAGAGGGGCAGTGGTAATTAGGTTTATATCAGCTGACTCAAATTTGCTCTTAATCCCATTATACTTGCATTACAATCACACTAACCGTCCATCCATGATGGTCATTATATAGAATGTGTGTCCAGTAAATGCAGTATATCCAGTATAATATGCAGTATGTAAAACTGGAGAGCAATCAAATTTGCTAAATGCGCAAATGCTCTAGAGCCCCCAGATTCACAGTGGAAGCTCCAGATTCAACGCATGTTAGTTGGTTTGTAATTAAATTTTTTGCAAATCTACTTTCCTAATCTGGAACATACTGCACTCCCTAAAATCAAATTTAAAGAACCACTTATGAGCTTATTGTCTTGGCCCCCCCAAGGGAAACATTTAGCTGTTGGGTCCTTGTAGACCTCCCACCCACCGTCACCTTTGCATTAGTGTGTGTACTGTCGCCTCAAACCTCCATCTTGTTTGGTAGAGGAACAAAAGCCCTCACATCATCAAACCAAGCAGGTTACTGGGACAGAGCTTGGCAGGCTGCTCATCCAGTTTGGGCCAGTTTCAGTGTTTGAACAGAAAGAGTAGAGCAGTTGTTTGTGGTTCAACACACTTGTCAGCCATAATGTTTATACTGATGATAAGCTTGTATTTATCACATCTGTTCTGTGTCTTTATCTATCATTATGTCTGTTTTATCATATCTACGCAGGGCAAAGAATACAGTTGTTTTTGCTCTCTGTCTCTAGATGCCTACGAGAGTGCTAAGTTGCTGTGTGAGCAGTATTACCTCGGAGCACCAGAGCTGGAGCTGAGGCAGATGAATGGTGAGACGCACACAAAAAACTGCGACGAAACACACACGTAGTTTGTTAAAGTGTGTGTGCATTGACGTTTTTTTTCCCCCTCCCCTAGCCAACGACATCAGAGAGTCCATCCATATCTCATACATCCCATCTCACCTGTATCACATGCTGTTTGAACTCTTCAAGGTAATAAATAACACTGCATCTGCAAACAAAAAAACATTAAATGCTGACTTATTTAGGACTCAAAGTTTAGGACATGGGTGCAAAGACTTGAGACATTCTTATGACTTGCAAATATTCCAGAAGTGAATTTACTGACATTAGCAATTAGCTCAGTGTGGCTTTTTACAACATGTTGAGTTTCCGGTGGTATTATCTGATATTGGCTTTTATTTTAATAAAATGTAAAAAATGAATGGACCATAATGGCTGCCCAACAGCTCATAAACCCTCATGTTTTCCTCTCTGTAGAATGCCATGAGAGCAACTATTGAGACCCATGAGGCCAGCAGGACCCTCCCACCCATCAAAGTCATGGTTGCCCTTGGTGGAGAGGACCTGTCAATCAAGGTGAGTGACAGCTCCGCTCTTAAATCGTAATACGTTTTTTTTTTAGTTAGTGGCCCGCTCGCAGCTTCCGCATGAACTGAACACATGGTTAGTACTACAGTGGAAACCAGAGTGGAAACCAAACCAGAGGGAAAGCCAAAGAGATTCTGATTCTTCTGCCCCAGAATGCATTAGCAAACATCCACACAACATTAACTAAGCTTTGTAGCTCGTCACAAGTTGAAAGAACAAGAAAGGTGTTATCTGAATGCCCTCAATTCTTAAACCAAAAATAGAAACAGAGTTGGCTCAACTATAAATTTCTTTACTCCAAAAAATCACAGTAATGCTCCCAGCACTAAAGCTCTACTGAGGTAACACATGCGTTATGTATACACTAAGGTGATTATGATGGAAGCTATTAAAAGAAAGAGAGGAATGAATGCTTTCTTTTCATCCACATTCTGAAGTGACGTGTTTTCACCCATTGCCCCCGTTGTTACCCTGACTCACCTCTGTTCAGTGTCTTAATTAGGTTACATAAACCCCTTAAACCCTCATTATCATCAAAGAATCATCATCCACCCAGATTTAGAGCCCATTCAATGACATCACTAGCTCCTGGCACACCCTGCCTCCATATTTAGAGAGGATTAACTCTTGCTAACCATTGTTTCACACCTTTAAACTTTGCCCTAATGGCCTGCCATAGAAAATTTTTATTAAGGGTGGAGTCGCACGCACACACACACACACACACACACACTCTTACAGGTCTTCCTGTCTATGGTGCATGGTAACAAAATTGAAGGTATTCTCTCCAAACTGAGATCTAACTCTTTCAGACTGTATGTGTTGCGTCTATCTTGCCTGCTGAGCCCTCGCTGCTGTGTTAACCTCTCCACAATCTCCGTCTCTCTCCAGATGAGCGACAGAGGAGGCGGCGTTCCCTTCAGGAAGACAGAGCGTCTGTTCAGCTACATGTACTCCACAGCTCCCAGACCCTCCATAGGAGACAGACACAGAGCCCCACTGGTGAACAATTCACACCCAAACACACACATTCCAACACAATGCTAATACATGAGAAGAGCTAACATGTGTACGTGTGTATGTGTGTGTGTGTGCAGGCAGGGTTTGGCTATGGTCTGCCCATCTCTCGTCTCTACGCACGCTACTTCCAGGGAGACTTACAGCTCTACTCTATGGAGGGTTACGGCACTGACGCTGTCATACAACTGAAGGTAATATATACACATACATACATGAGAACCAAAACATGATGTTAGCCAAATAAAAGTATCCCTATTTATTCTTGCAGTAAGTCATCCGTGCATTAAAATTCTCCGTCTGTCCCAAGGCGTTGTCCACAGACTCAGTGGAGAGGCTGCCGGTTTTTAACAAGACCGCTTTGCGTCACTACAAGCTGAGTTTGGAGGCAGATGATTGGTGCGTTCCGTCCAAGGAGCCGCTGGACCTGGCCATCTACCGCGCCGCCAAGTGATTGAGTCATGACCTGACATGACTTTTGACACAAACTCCAACAAGCTGACCATAAAATGTCTTTTAAAAGCAGGGCATTGTGGGACCAGAACTATTACGGCGATGAAAGTGACCAATTGTGGCCAAAGAGATCAAAGAGAAGGCAGAGCATCGGCGTCCCAGTTGGCTGGGAACTTCCTTGATTGGAGCGAGTGCCTTCTTCCTGTATCTCCTCCTGCTTTCTTTACATGTGTGCTATAGATCAACGGAGAGAAGAACAAGGTTGACATTGTGAGTCAAGATGGCGGACAGTCAAAGATGCAGCGGTAGAAATTCAGAAAAAGAGAAAGAGAGCGAGATGGAGAGGTAAATTGAACGGATGGTAGGCCTAAAAGAAAAAAAAGGACAAATATGGATAATTAATATTGGGCTTACATTTATTGATAAGAGCCCAACAGTTGTCCATTTGTATGACAAATTGCTGGTCACATCTGATGAGTTCACCATTATCTGTATCTGTTCAACCAACAAATTTATCAGGATACGTATCTGTACTCGGAACGGGCGGGGCTTAAACCAGATGGGCAGAAGTAGGCGGGACTAACTGGAAGTTGTTGAAAAAGGCTGAAAATGATATGGGTTCATCAGAAGTTGCTATATTTATTAGAAGATTATTTACAGAACAGCCTCAGAGTTGAAAGTGATTAAAAAAAAAAAAAAAAAAAAGTCCAGATCTGTAGCAGATACTCATTTCAGCTAAGCACTAAACAATATGACAATGGGTTGGCAGCTCCTCTCTGTCGCTGCTCGAGCTAATGTTGGCTTTACAGACGAGCTGCTTCATAACCCCGAGTGCTGGACATCTAGATTCAGAACTTTTAATAGTTCAACCGGGAGATTCCAACAGCTATTACACTCTCTGCCAGCTCTCTGTCATTTACAATCAACATGAGCTAGCCTAGCTAACAGCTAATTGTCTTTTTCTTAAGACAACATTAAAGTAAGCTGTGTTAAAATTACGGCTGTCACGATAACAAAATTGTGAATTCGACTTCAGCCCTGAAGGCTGTGAAGAGACGGTTTCATTCTGTAAACAGTTGACGTGTGGCCGTTCCAACCCATGTCAGCATTTGGTTTGAAGCCGCTGATTTGGAACAAAACTATCAAAGAAACAAGTTCTACTTTGTCTTTTTACAGCATCAGTTTACTTTGAGCCTACATCATTGCTACTCGTAATAACAGCTGACTGATATCTCTCAGCAGCAGTAAGACGTTGAGAAGAAGGGAAGAGGGTCGTAGAATGTTCTGAGAGTATTTAGCTAAGTCTAGAACAAAATGTCTTCCAGCTTGATATTATTCCAACCCTAACCTCACATGGAAAAGCATTTCACACAAATGCTAGCAACCATTTTTGCCATTTGTATTTTTTAGTGTTTATCAGGTCCTTCAGGTTTCGAGATGCCAGCGGAAGGTTTTCCTCAATAAGTGCATGACGTTGACTGAGAAGTGTGTTTTTTCTTTTGCTGCAAGAATCAGAACATTTCCTTTCTATGCAAACTTGTTTGTTGTTTTACTTTTTGTCATGAACAAACTGTAAGTGAATATTCTCTTAAATTCCTGCTTTGTGGCCTAATTTAAGATACAGAACAACCATGTTCAGCTGCTCGGTTACTGACAATGAACAAGGATTAAGGATTATTTGGTTAGAGTTTAGCAGGTACTGTAACACTGTCAAAGAGTTATGTAAACTTGTCGTCTGTTGACAGTTCTAGTTATCCATTCATTTGCTGTGGAAGATTATGAGTGTGGAAGCTTGTGGAAGACCTGCAATGGGTCCAAACTGCGATAACTGCATGTTATTCTGCATATTGTGATTCACTGTGTGTATGTGTGACCCAGACACTGTGTTACTGTGTCATTTGAAGTGCCCGTATTCTATTGTATATTTGAAGTGAACTGTTCATATTGAAGGACATCTATTTTTTATAAAGAAAAGTTTTGAAAATAAATAAAAACAAACCTGAAATGAATTTAACTTATGTCATTATTATTATTATTATTATTATTATTATTATTATTATATTATTATTATATATGTTTTTTTAATTAGGCCTGGGATGTTATTAAAATTTCATGTAACGGTTATCTTGGCCAAAATGATTGCTATACACAATATATCACAATAATCATATCGATATACTTTATACCTCACTTTATAAAACTCACAAAGAAATCCCCTTACATTTTGTTAACAAACATATATTTATTGTTGCATCATAGATAGGTACCTCATATCCTTGTTCTATATTTTGGAATCTATACTATTTCCACACATTTCAGTTTAACTTTATTTTTGTGGGAGATACAACGGGCAGCCCAAAGCTTTAGTCATGGTGACAGGCTGAAGATTTTGGAATAAAAGGAAGGCTGTGGCCTCCCTCTTTTCCCATTGTTCAAAATAAATCAGGAAATCAATATAGGACTGTATGCGGGGGAGCCAATTATCCCGATTTCTGATTATCCTGACATTGGAAATTCAAATATCATGGAGTTTTTATCATGATACGTGATCATATTGTATATTGTCCCATCCCTATTTATTCTTATTGGTTTATATATTGTGTGATTAATGTATGAGTGTGTGTGTGTGTGTGTGTGTGTGTGTGTGTGTGTGTGTGGGTGTGTGTGTGTGTTTGCTCAGAAGGTGAATTCAGTTCTGCTGATTCAGGGCTTGTGGCAGAGCAGACTCACAGGCCATGAACTGTGCAGGGGGGAAGCAATATGAACACCGACCAATCAGAGACTGAGTTACATAACATGTGGAAGGATGTAAAGTCATGTGTGCATGCCTATCTTTGTGTGTCTCTTTGTTGAAATTACCTGGCTCACAACAGTCCCAGGGTCAATGTAGGGACTTTGGCTACCATGCCACCATGGGTGTGTTATATAATTCTTGTTTGGTGAGTAACATATAGGGACATGACCAACATTTAGTTTCACAACCCTGTGTTGGAGAATGATAAATAAATGAACCTTGCACCTTGTTTGTTGGGACTTCAGTTATCACGCAGGGTGTGTGTGTGTGTGTGTGTGTGTGTGTGTGGGCCATAGGAGATCAACCTGCTCTTGTGGAAGTAAGAGTGAAAGTGTCAGGTCATAAATAGAGTGGAGCAATGACAGTTGAGTTGTAGCTGTGGTGATGTTTAACTGCAGGAATGCTGTATACAGGTTGAGGATGAGCTAAAGCAGGTCAACCTCCATCTTGGCAGCATTTATATAAGCATAGATCTGGTCTTATTCTACAGTTCTTATTGTCGACAAATCCCATGTAAACACCAAAACAAGCTATTTGTTTGTCAGCCCCAGCACCTAGTGATTCCTACTAAAGACCTACATCATTAAAAGTAGATCACAAATATATAAAATACTTTAGTATTGGTTATTGCTCCAGGGTTGGATGGTGCTGTCAGTTGGTCAGGCCACGGGTCACTTTGGACCATAGCGAATTATCTTTAATTAGTGGATGGATTTCCATGAAATTTGGTAAGACATTCATATTCTCTCAGGATGAGCTGTAACAATAATACAAACTGTGCTATATTACAAAGAGAAATACAAAAACTTAATAATTAGCCTTTAAAATAACCATTTTAGCCTCATGTAACAACAATACTAAATGGCAAAAGCAGTGATGATTCTGAATGTGTAGTAATATGCCTTATTAAAGTCAAAGTAGTACAGCGACATTCGTCAAGGGTAAATTACACCATTCTTGAGGTCTAGTGATTTTAGATTTTTCTCTCTGTGATGTTGCAACAATAATTGTACAAACATTCTTCTAAAACAAAGACTTAAGTTTAGTTGGAAAATTCTGTTTCATACACTCAGAGCTCGAATGACTACGTATTGGTCCATCAGGCTCCAAACGGGGCTTGACTGAAAGACAATCAGATCTGCCTGCCGTGTTTGAGGTGCTCTTCCCCAGCGGTTCTCAAATTGTTTTCAATTTTCTTTTAAGCCAAATTCCCCCTGACAAAACATTTTTAGTAGAAAAAAAGGCTATATAAAGAGGTACAATACAGCGTTGCACCATCAGTGTCTGATTCAATAAACAAGCTGGTAAAATAACTTTGTCTTTAGATCATTGCAGCTCATCGAGGTAAATCCCTTTCAAGCGTATTTTTCCTGATGCTGACGGTAGGAGAAAAAATTTATTTTTCTCCTCTTCTTTCGTGTTTTCAGCTGTATTGCTGCTACTTTTCAACTAAGAATTGATTTTCATTTGCCTTTTAATATGAAAACTGGCTTCCCGCTCACAGTGAACAAACGTCATTGTGCACGTGATTGCATTGAAAATATTACAAATATTGAATAAAATAGCTAGTTTATTATTATTTATCAAACAGACGTTAACATTTTTATTTAACTTATTTTAGGAGTTATGCATGACTGATATTGTTTTAAAGCCTACTCCACAGTATCTGTAGGGGTACCACCATTTTAGGAATGCTGCTCTACCTAAAAAAAATGTCTCACACCTCTAGGTAAAATGTTTCTTTTTATAATGTCAGTAAATGTCCTTTGAGCTGGATGTCAACAATGAATGAGTTTCTAACCTCAAACGACACAGGCAGGATAGAACAGTACTAACAACCTGAGTCTGATATAACTATTGATTGTACACACACACACACACACACACACACACAAATGCAGCCAAGGCAGGTTAATGGCAGACTAGCTTGAACCAGTTGTGTAATGAGTGAACAAGCCAAAACCTTGTTGGTCCTTGTTAGAACAGAACATGGTCCAGGTTCTGCATCTGTACAGTCTCTACGTGATATCTGACAACCCCTTTTACATGAATCATTGGTAAGTCTTTTTCTCAACCCTAATGTTCCGTCTGGGGTCCTAGACACCCTGGGGTTCTCTTTAACAGCAGGAAATGTCTTATTACAAAGGAATACCTGGTTTAATATAATGTATTTCTACTGTATACACACTGCAGTTTTTGGCATTTCTGTGCTGATTTATTTGCCAGCCAGGCTGCTGCTGGCTCTACCTGACCTTAAACACAGTAACACCACTATATACCTGTAGGATAACAAACTGTTCATCTACAGGAATATATATTTATTCATGTATAGCACTTATAACATAGACAAGACATCAAATATTCCCTTGTTTTCTGTGATAATTCTTTACGTGGTCAGTATTTTGTCACATTCATCAACTTTACAGCTCAGTTTGGAGCAAAAAAGAGTAACCCCTTTAATACTTTGGATAAATGATTTTCCAAACTTCCAGTGTGTAGGATTTAGTGGCATCTAGTGGCAAAGTTGCAGATTGCAACAAACTCAACTCATCTCAATCTCTAATAAGAAAATGTTTAAGCTCAACAGTCTGTGGACCTGCAGGAACCAGCCTCACCCTGCTTAGTCAAGTCCAGTCACAGTAGATGTCAGGCTTTTGCCAGCCCAGCTTGAACACAAGTCTCATGTCTCATGCTGGAGACAAAAACAGGGTCTACGAATGTTATATTTTCTGGAAAGGAACATGTCAGGGAACCAGTAGGTCTCTGTATATAATCATATAACTTGACTAAATAATCATAACTCAAGGTCAGTTTACTAGATTTTTTGGTTTAAGTTGTTGAATAGGTGGACCTGTTGTTGCGATTTAGATTTAGAGTGCAGTATTCAGTGTCAGAGACCTGCTCTCACAAAGGGTTGAAAAAATCTGCATCAACTAATTAACAAATTATGTATTGGAAGGACACTAAAATAATAAGGACATATATGATTAAAAACAAATCCTGCCTCAGTGGCGCTGTATCACCAGCCGCTCATTATTGGCTGAGCAGTGACCCCATGTGGTGAGGTTTACACATTACCAATATTACAGGTCTATTTTTGACCAATAACAATATTACAGTTAAATACTCTCATGGTGACCAAAAATCTAATATAATTGAATGCACTTACAGTGACACATTACAGTGCACATATTTGTTTTTAGTTTTCTGTTTTACTTCCCTGCTATCTCTATTATATGAACAGTAGGTATTTGTTGCAAGTCTCTAGTATAATGTACCTTTATTCAAGAAGCTGGTAAGGAAGGCCGACTCCATGGCGGGCAGGATAGTCTGCAGACAGTGGCAGGGAGGAGGATGGGGGACAGGATCAGTGCCACCCCCTCTCACCCACTCCATGATGATCTCTAGCTAACAGGCGGCTCATGCCCCAGAGATGACTGACTACTATTTTCAACCCTGTCTCCTAGAAATTCAGTTTGTATCTCACTAAATTACTATGTTCTAAATAATTATGTTGTGGTGACAACATAATACCTGCCTGGAATCGGTTCAGAGGCAACATTTTATGAAACACTACATTACTGTACGGTCCTGGAGTCATTTCCCAATAATGTTCAAAGCAAACATATTTCCTTCAGCATTATGTTTAAGGCTTTTGAGAGTGAATTTTTTGCCAGCAACTTTCAGTTCAGGCCTGTGTGTGAACTGCTTTGAAAGTGTAACCACTGAACGGACAAAAGCATTAAAGCAAATAAGAAAAACTGTAAATACACTCTTTGTTACAGTTTTTCAAAATGCTTCACACTGTCAGCAAAACGCTAGTTGGTGTGGATCATATTTCATTGCTTTCACACGCAATGCATCAACTGTGTGAACAGGTTTGAAAAAATGAACTATGCAGTATGCAGCAAATGTTGGGTTTGTTTGTGTCCACTAGAGGGTATTGTAGGAAAGAAATATTAGTCCTACTTGATGTAAAGTGAGTGAATGTTTTCAAATGTCAAATGAAAACCATCATTCTCAATATCCTTAGTTTTAAGGTTTACACACAGACTTGAAATGTACAGCTCAAATATCTTAATCCAGTGACACGAGCTAGTCTCTGTGAATGACTTGTATTACTATTTATTATACAAATCTATAAATATGGTCTTGATGTATATTCTTGTATGCAAAACATTTGAGACAACTGCCACAACCTTAGACTCTATATAATATGAACATATACTGATGATATTGTAGTGTGTGGTGTATTTCAAGGGAAAGTTTAAGATGAAATACAAGATTACTACCAGATTGACAGAAGCCAATGAGGTGCTGATAACAACATTTTGTGTTGTTTTTATATAGAAATGTGTTGTTTTGTTATTTGTTTTTAGTGTACTTTCATTTTTGTATTTTCTGTCTGACATTAATGCTTTAATCTAAGTACATACTGCGAGCAGACTGTTGGAACTGGTTTCTGTAAGACATGAGTTAATTCAGTCAGCTGTTGATATCTGAGTCAAAGTCTGCAGCTACATGCACAATTTTTTTTTATTTTAAGTCAAGTGTTTACATGAGATGTGATCTAATACGGTCTGGATGCAGCTGTGTGAGATGGATTAAAAGTGATGAATATTTCCACGCTTTCATAAAGTTGATGGGGATGATCAGCACTTCGGTCTATCCCGGTTTGATCCATTTTTATCTTAAACTTGTTTGTTTGTTGTAATGTTCAATTATTTAAGAGTTTGTCTTAAAACTCTCTGCAGAGGCCGAGTTCAGCCTGGAAGCTGCCATTTTTTGGAAGAAGACATCCACGCTCATTTGCTTCAAAATGGAGGGCATGTACAGAAAGAATGCAGTCATAAAGTAATCCGATTAAATGGTTTTCATGGTACAATTTACACCGATTTAAAGTACCCCTCTGCAAATTATTGAAATTTCAATCCGTTTTTAAACAAATCTACATTTTTGTATTCTGTTTAGGATTATAGTCAGAATATTAGGCGCCATATAAATACGAAATGTCATACTGACAGTTCCTTAGAGCTGTGATTATCAACCTTTTTGCTTAAGGGACTACTTTTCTGTAATTCATTACACTGAAGACCAAGGCTTAAGTGGCATATTTTTTGGATATATGTATGTATGTATGTATAATAAACCCAAACAATGAACACAATTACTCCAGAAAGTGTAAAATGAGTGATCTGGATTAATTTTGAGCAGATTATTTCCTGTTTAGGCAATGTTTGTTTTTAACTATCATACTTACAGTTCTCAGTAGTAATAGTAATTTTTATAGTAGGTACTACATTTAGTTTTCTTTACAGAAGTGAACAAAATACTGAGATATGGATTTCTAACTCACCTTAAAATCAAGAAGGCCTCGTGAACCTCCCCATGTGCCTTTGGTGACCCCTAGTGGGGGATTTGGGTTTGGAACCAGTGCCTTACACAGACAAGTTAGGCTAAATGTTATGAGTGAGTGACAGTTTCTTGCAAGTGTTAAAGTGTGAAGATTGCTCCTAATGTTTGGAGATCTGCAACAGTGAGTCAGAAAATCTGCTCCAGAAATGGATAACATTTTTAAAAAAGACACAGGACACAAATGGGAAATTTTGGCATAAGCTTTTAATGTTTTTATTTAGTTTTTGAGGTTTTCTCTTTAAACTGAATTTGTTTGCTTTTTCCCAGTAGTTCGGTGATTTTTTTTATTAATATTCATCAGTTTTTTTTATTTATCCTATCAGTAAAGGAGAAGAGTTGCTCAGGTAAATCAGCATTCACAGTCAAACCTTCATACGTTTTAACAACAGAACTGTTTTTTATAAGTCTCTTTTTCACAAATGCTGTTGAATTATTACAGTTTCACCTTTTTTGTTCTTTACATGTTTCAAAAATAGAAAAGGTAAATAATAAACATTCCATTGAAATATATTTTATACAGTTCTCGATTCTTTTTATTTTATTTTTCTCTCTCCAGTGTAGTGACAATAAAATTATATCCAGCATCAGTCTTTATAGAATAAACCCCGTTCATTAATGGAGGGAAGCCTCTGGTCTTTCTGTCTCTGTCATCCTTCTTTCTTTCTCTGCTCCTTTCCAACTGTTTATCCCTGTTGTGGGACATTCAACCAACCAGTTGATTAACTGACTAATCAATCAATCTGTCAACAATGATATGAACCCCAACGCAGTGAATAGCTGCACGATGTGTTTTTTCTGTTTATGAGAATCTGCAGCAACAGAGGAATGAATATGAGTATGGACAGAAGAAGATGAGAACTGAAAAGAACAGATTCATTTGACTTCAACAGACAGGTGGAGAAGCAGGCGATGGGAAAGGGAGCGTGTCTGACAATGAAAAAGGAAAGTTTTCCATGAGCATCTGTGATTCAAGGGAAAAATGGGAAAGCAGTGTCAAAAGGAGAAAAGATGACCTGAGAATATTCATCTGTCCTTATATGGTGACAGAAAAAAATGAAGAATCACTCTGCTGGATTTCCCAAACAAGCACCAAACCCTCGACGCCGGTGCTGGGAAGTTCCTGGAAAACCGTGATTGGACTCATGAAACTGAGCCTGTTTTCCCTCCGGAGAGCGAACACTGGTTTGTGTCATAGTATGAAAAGGAACACAAAAAGTGAATGACTAGGGAGAAAAAAAAAATGTTGTTCATGTCCCACACTGCATCCCCTAACCTGACATAGAGAAAAGAAGAGGGAAGGGCGAGAACTGTTGCTTTTTTTCTTGTTTTTTTGACGGAGGAGAGGCTTCCCTTCACGTGGCCATTCACAATTAAGTTAAAGTCATCGTTTAAGTTTCCCACGCATGCATTTAGAATTTCATCTCCAAAACAATAGGATAGAAAAACACAAGAACAAGGGATGCAAAAAGAAGCTTCTTCCTCAAAATAACTGGAGGAGGAGGAGGAGGGGAGGAGGAAGAGGAGGAAAGGACAGAGAGAGAGAGAGAGGAGAGGTGAGGAGCATGGGATGGAGAAGTTGCTGCAAGAAACGCAGACTGGAGTTTTCGAGCCCAACTTGCTAGCTACGAACTGAAACAAAACATTATCTAGATTGAGCCCGAGAGCTCATTCTTCGCCTTGGAAATATATATACAAAATATTCTTTACTTAAGGTCTGCTAACTAGCTGAGATTATATTTATGATTTTAGGCTAGCTAACTTGTTTATCAGGACAATGTAGGCTAGTAGAGCTGGATGAAACCTCGCTAGCTTTGGTAAGTTTGACTGAAGGTCAATTTATTAGCTATAGAAGGCTACAACGTTTTATTCATGATTTTAGGGTAACATTAGCTAACCAGTTTATCTACACAGTGTAGGCTAGTAGAGCTAGGCAAGACAATTTTATCTTAAGGGGCACTTACTAGCTTTACTAAAGAGATTTTATTTATGATTTTAAGCTGGCTAATTTGTTTATCTGGACAATGTAGGCTAGTAGAGCTCGGTGAAAAATAGCTAGCACCCTGTTAAATTTAACTGCAGGTCAGCGTCTCAGAAGGCTATCAGTTTTTCGGGTAACATTAGCTGACTTGTTTATCGAGACAGTGTAGGCTAGAAGAGCTGGCCAAGACAAAACCAGCTAACGAAGACAATTTTAACTTCCACTTATTCATTTTTCAGAAGACCATAAGATGAAGGCCAGTGGACCTTGAGTGAAGAATACCTCGTCAAAGGTCTAGGTTAGCTAGTTTTGGCCTAGCTCCACAAGCCTGCATTGTCCGGATAAACTAGTTAGCTCATCTAAAATTGTAAAATACAATGTAATTAATTAATAAAAAAATAAATAATATATTTTTAACTTTTGTTTGGCTGTGTCCATTGAAGATTAAGTGGTGAATCCACAGGGCAGTAGAGTTCAAACTTGTACGTTTCACTTCTGACTGCACCCAAATCACTGGTATCACCCCAGATGTTTTTCCTTCGCTGTTAAAGGAAAGACATCGGCTGGGAATGTGGCGAGACGTGTAACATACAACTCACACTGAGCTGTGAAGCCATTCCTGCCGCCTTTTTTCACCCATCAACCAGACTGCTCCTGGCTTCTTAAAATACTTGTATAAAGGCCTTTAAAACTCCAATCAGCATTAAAGAAAGGTGGAGGGGTGTGACTGTGGGCAGAGCCGCTCCTCTGCATCTTGTCCTGATATGTTTGGTCGTCGTTTGGGTTTCAAGTAAAGGTTGCACTATTGGTTAGCTCAGCTGTCAGTCTTCTCACAGGGGGGCTTAGCTCAGTCTGCACAGCACGCTTACTCTCTTACACACACACGTCATTCATGCAAACACACACATTCTGACACACACTCGTACGCACACATAACCAAAACCATAGTCCCTAAAAAAGAGCTTATACCATTATTGCTCTGTCCCCACTACACTGCAGTGGAATAATCTAGGTTTCTTTTTGTCTTTCTAGAACTATGCAGCCATCACTACTTCTTCTTCTCCTACTTTTCTGTCTCTATTATGTCTTATTTATGTTGGTCTCCGAAGCAGCATGCCTTAGGAAAGGTATGGTGGGAGAGGGGTGAGGGCAGTGGATCCCATTGTGATGCAAGGATGTACCCATATCCCATGAGTCCTTGAAGCATTTCTTTTTTATACATTTAAGCACTACACAAGACATTGAAGACATCGACTACTTAAGAGTGTTATGCAGGACTCCACAGGATTGAAGATGAAAAATATTTCACCATTTTGTCATGTTTGTACCTGTGTGCTTTCTTGTTGTGAAATAATGAGCATTTGAAGCCTCTACACACAATATGATCTCCACACATGTTAAACTTTAGTAATCGTGCACTTACATGTGTCTATTTACTACAGAGTTTTGAATGGGGACAGCACAAAGACCCTGGGGAGTTTCTGGTTGTTTCTGGTCTCAACCATGCAACCTATTCTTAACAGGACACCTGTCGACAAAGAACTGACTGCTGTCAACCGAGCCTTCGTTGAAAAGTGCTGTCATGGACTTGCATTATGGGAATTGTAGCTTTTAGGCTTGACCCATGCTAGGGGCTAAGAGTCCAAATACCTTGTCCTCAGCTGCTTCAATTCTTTGTTTTTTTTAATCTGTCTCTCAGAAGACTCCCAACTTTACAGTACCCTGTGCTACATTATCTTTCCTTTGTTTCTGTATAAACCCTTACTTGCGCAGCCTTTAGGTAGCGATACACAATTTTGATTAAGGGTAATTCTGATTTGCAGTATTGTCTATTAACCGTGTTGGCTCAGTCAAATACCATTTTATTGCTAAACGTTTACATCCACTGTTTGGGACACTATAGGAGTCTTCTTGTATGCAGTCATTCTGCAGTTACCGCTGTATAACCAGGTTAAAAGTCTCTAACATAAAATCTTCTTGTTCGGCCCCACACCCCATCTGAGAGCCCAATGACATGAAGCCTGTAGCCCAACTGGTGCGTGCATAGGCTCTCTTTATGTTCACTGCATGCTTGAATACAAAAGCATTTATCGATGCATTGTTATAATCTTCATGATCATAATTCATCAGAATTGCATGTGTTAAAATATACAAAATATATATGATATGTAAACCAAAAACTACAGTTTAGCAAATAAAAGAAAATGCTGAAAGCAGTATAAATTAACAAACTTAATGACACTGACAGAAGTTGTGTTCACCTTGGTATAGCTACAGTACAGTACATGGTAGGCTATTATTATTTTTTGACATTTCTGAAGCTGTACTTTATACCTTTAGGAAGACAAGTGATATAAAATATCAGAATTGATACCTAATTTCATCCCATACAATACTATATTAAAAACAAAAAAAAAACCTGGAAGCAATGAGACCTAGTGCAGTGTGGAAGGACAGTAAGACACAGAAAATGACAGAGAAATCTACTTCCAGGCTTCAAGTAGCGTTATAGGGATCCAGATTTACATATTGAACTGATCATAATGTTCATTTGAAACTATTATTTGAAACTTTCCTGAAGATACATACTGCAGCATCATAACATCTCAACATTCCACCTCTCAGATTTTTGATACAGTGTATTCCTGAGATAGGCCCTGTTTTCTAATTGATTTTTGGCTCCCTGCTATTTATTAAGATTACCCCAGAATGATAGAGAATAGTGTGTATGTCCGAAGACAAACAAAATAAAAAAAATAAAAGATTCTGCTGTAGAGTGTGACGACATACTGTTATTTTGAACAGAGCATGAATACCAAATAGTAACCTTGTTGGTCCCCACAATGCACAATGTAATCAAACTTTATATCTTAGCAGCAGGGGGACTTAATCTGTTTCAGCCACGGCTTTTGCAGTTATCGGATTCAATTAATGGAAATGCTACAATTTATAATGCTCATTAAGCCACAAAATATGATTATGTCTGCTTTTCATACACGGTAGGACTTTAGACAAAAAAAAATGAGCTGAAACCATTTTGTGTTTTGCTCTGTAGAAAACAGATTGACTTCCTAGTGAGCTACCAGACCTTGGCTGAATCCAGATTTCTTGACTTCCCTGCACTTGCAGACACACAAACTTAACAGGCATGTTAACAAGTCCATTAGTGCGTAGAACAGTCCAAATCTGCCATTCATCAAGTGCGCAAAGGGCCTTTTCTACGGACTGTTTTACTGCCTTAGCTTAACTATGTACAGCAGCAGACCCAGCACATCTTGCATAAATTGCCTATGCCAGCATTAAGAACCATTTAGAAAAATAATTTGGGATGTGTTACAGGGTCAAGAATTCGTATCAATCAACGCCACGATACATACATGACAAGGGTGGACATTTGGATTTAGACCCTCTGAGCAAGCATGTCTACCTACCAGGGAGCTTCGCTGTGATATAGCCGTGGTTTGCCAGAATAAACTCTTTTAGTTTGATAGCCCTTATTGAAAAGCGTGAAGCGCAGCTGACGAACATGCAGATTTGACTGCAAATAGCTGGACAGTTTTCATCAAATCTTTGTTTTCTGTCATCTGTTAGCATTCTATGTAGGTTTTTTTAATAGGGAAGAAGCTATGAACGGGAATGTTTTGGT